GGGACCCCAGGGGATGGGGAGTTACTGAGGAGGCTCCCTTATTTTTAACATCCTTTTATTCTCTGTTTTATTTTGCTTTTTATATTTTTAATGTGTTTATTGACTGTTTTTATCTTTGTTGTACACCGCCCAGAGTCGCCTGTGGTGAGATGGGTGGCTATATAAATTGGTTTAATAAACAAATAAACAAACAAACAAATAAATAAATAAAATTAAACACTGTTTACTATTATACAGAAGTAAACCCCACTGAAAACAGGACTTCTGAGTTGACAAATGTGTGATCACATTGGCAGCGAACTCAAGCTTATACACCTTTACCTAGAAGTAAAGCATCCATAGTGTTCAACACAGCTTATTCCAAATGAGCCTAACAATGTCTAGTAAGTAAGCCCTTGAGAGCCAGTTTGGTGTAGTGGTTAAGGCACTAGGCTAGAAACAAGGAGACCATGAGTTCTAGTCTTGTCTTGGGCACAGCACCAATTGGGTGACCTTGGGCCAGTCACTCTCTCTCAGTCTTGGGAAGAAGGAAACAGCAAACCACTTCCAAAGAAAACTGCATGCATGGATTTGTCCAGGTAGTTTGCCAGGAATTAAGATGGACTCAAAGCCCCCCCCCCAAAAAAAAGGGGAGTAGAGGGAAGGAAGGAAGCTGTTAGGATTTATTCCCCAGCAAATGTTTTGAGAATTTTTCTCTTAATAGATTTAGAATTACTGGGTTATCTGAGCATGCTTTCAGAAGGAAGAAAACAAACACCTTCATAAATACTTATGTAAAATATTTATATCCTTTATTCTTTCCTCCACTTCAGAAATTCAGAACTTTAGCTTTTTCTACTATTTTGTAACATGCCAAGACAGGTATAATGGATTCAGTTAGAAGATAGGTTTACAGAATTTTTTGAATTGAGAAGATGCTATGGCATTGGACATATTTCCAGATTCTCTTATTGGTCTCTTCTTGAGTATTTACACTACAGTAAATGTTCTCTACACTGAGGAATTCTTCATTCATTTATTTAAAAGAAGTTGAGGCAGCCCTTCGGTAACTTTATCAAGGCAAGGTATCAGGAAAGAGCAAAATCACAATGAAGATCTATTAACTCAGCCAATTCACATGCCTTGGTACAAATAAAAACCACTTCATGGGCCAGAATGAAGATGACAACTTTTGGCACCAGGTGATCCTTGCTACAATGATCACAAACAAATGGGACCTTCACCCCACCCACTGGTATACTTGGCCCTTGGCACCTGTGCTTCCTGGAGCTCTTCAACAAATAGAAGTTATGAAATCCTGCTTTAAAATGATAGGGAACCCAGAGCAGTAAGGTCTTTGTGCATTCTTCCCAGCATTATCAGAAATTCATTGACCTGTCAAGTTCATTGGTAGTCAGCAGAACAGTTTCTTTTTTAAATTAGCACTCTTCTATCATATGTCCAAAAAAAGTGGGCAGAGCTTCATGGCCACCATCTTGACTTTTTTGACCACACCCTGCAGACCCCCTTGCCTGTCACATAACCACACAAAAAAAGGTACCCATAAATTGAACTAACACAAATTAATATAGTGTCTAGAACAGTGGTTAGTGAGATACCCTTTTAAAGTGCACAGATTCATTTTGTGTAGGGATCAAATGTGGATCAACATGCAGAGGCCAAAGGGAGGGCTGGAAGGCCAATAAAATGTTTTTCTTGTTATTTTTCCTTTTCTCCCTTTTAAAAGTCCTCTTTTTTGGTACATTAAAGCAAACATTAGGAGCTACAGTTTTGAAACCCCTTGTCTGCTCACTTCTTCCAAAAGCTCCTTCACGCGCACCTGATGCTTCAAAGCATATATGCCAAATACCCACAGAAAATGTCTAATGGAGACGTTGCACAGCAGGAGGGGCTACCCCACTCTCTATTTCTACCTGGCACAAGGGAAGGCCTCTTCTTAGAAGATGCTAATTTAAAACCCAGTGCCTGCTGAGCACAAGCTGCAGTTCCTGAAATGTGACTTAACTTTCCTAGCATTGTGAAAATACTCACAGCTATTTTCCATATGTCTTTGAAAACCAGAAGCCTTACAGTCCTTTTATTCTTCTCTGCATCTGTCTCCCCATGACAACATATAGCAAACAAAACAGCTAAAACATCTAAACAGGGTAACTAAGTACAGTATCAAACAAATGTAGCTTGGGAGCAAAATAATTGACTTAACTGGTCTATCACCATGAGACAATGTTGTTGTGAGGAAGAATCATGTGGCTTTACCATGGGTTCCTTCACCCAACCCAGCATCTCCAGAACTGGTTGCCATCTTGTTTCTAGAAAAAGTGAAGGATCCTCCTGGCTCTGTCCAGCCGGATTTCTTTATGCTGAAACATCACTTGTAAAGGAAATGCTTCAAGGTTTAAGATTACATGAGGTAACATGTGGCCATGATTCTTCATTTCCATCTGGCTATGCTACAGCAGATGGGTTATTAGCAACAAATCTGGAGAGGTGAAAATATTTATGGATGGGTTTTTAATACATTTTCTCCAATGGGTAGCTCTCTTTCTAAATATATCACAGTTGTTGGTATTGTACCTTGATGAATGATTTACATATCCTTTATTAGGTAATCCTAGAATACATTGAACTACAGCCTACTTTATCCTGCTATGTAAATTATGGCCTTTTAGGATTTGCTGTGCTTTGGTTACCATTAGAGGATCATAGACACTCACAGACTGTATAATTTGAATCACACATATTTGTTAGATGGAACTTCAACTGGTTTGTTCTGGTTCAGTTGGGAATATTTGCCAGGGCAGTTGCAAAAACCTGGGTTAGGGTGTTTGAAGAATTGATCGATACTCTCTCGGCACTTAATGCTGTTGGGCCCTGAAATGGTTGCTTAAGATGTAGCTTTAAATAACAAATATTACAGACTTCTGGGGAAGAAATGGCTGACTGAACTGACTGACCGACTGCAGTGGAATGAAGAGCCGGCAAGTAGACCGGCTCTTCAATTATGCCTCTCCAGATAAGGAGAGGACTTGAAATCATCCATAAGTGCTGCAGACAGTACTCCTCATGAGGAGGTCTCTAGTGGGTTTAGAGCTCTGGGAGGTGAGAGAATAGCTATCTTATTCAAACTGTGGTCAGTGCCTTTGAAAGGATACTGGGTTTGCATATTTCCTTTTCTAATCGCTTTCAGAAATTGCTTGTTAACTGTTTTTCAGTTTAAAGTTTAAGTTTAAGTTTAAGTCAGTTAAAGTTTCAGTTTAAAGTTAAAGTTTAAGAACTTAAAAAAA